CAGGAAATTATGTGAGCTAGCAAAGGGACCCGATGGACATATGTAAATCAAGCTCCTATAATCACAACGCTACTTGTAAACCAACAAGTCCGTTTCATGATTATAAAACTCTAGCGCTATTCCACTAAAAGCCTAGAGCTGCACTCTCGATTTATATAGCGTATTTACAAAGCTCTGATTAGCTCTAGTCCATGACTCAATATATTAGTGTATCATTCCCATAGGATATCCATAATCGACTTGAGGTCAAGTTCCGTTTTACCTTCCCGATTACATTTATCTTATGTTCCATTATCATACCATCGGAAAAACACTATTCGTACAATTACAAACAGTAAACCATTAGATAACACAGAGTAGTATAATGGCCGAGCGCTCGTATTTTTCAATCCACTGATAATGCATAAGAGGATATCATTGACTCTTTATAGCAGCTATGGATTCCACTATCTATGAATAACGAATCTACGCATACATGAGTCATACCCCCAATGTACCGGCAAGCATACCTTTACGTAATGTCAGGATGTCTCCCTTTAGTACATCAAAGGATACAAGTCAAGCATACGGGTTCATCATCCATCTCAGGATTAAGATGACAACATATAATTCGTCAAAAGTGAATTGTTTTATTCAAACATAATTATTAATTAAAACAATTAAACTTTAGTCCAATCCAATATAGATTTCACCATTAGAAACTATATCAATGTCTCCACCCATGGAGTCCCACCTCCGATGACCAAGACAAGCCGTCTTCGTTAGGAAGTAGACAACATAACAATCTTAACATGAATAAAGCGCCCAACTTTATTCCCTCGATTGTGGATCATAAGATTTAGACTATCATCTTTAGATTCTTGTCTTCCGCATGTTCTTCACAGAGCATTTACGTGCATGAATTTTCTTGTTCAATCTAAGGTTTTTGTGATCTCCCCAAAAGAGGAAAATGCATGGAAACTTCTGTTTTGAATACCATACAGTATATATAATCGTGGAGTGCAAGAAAATTATATATTTAAGGACTTTGTAGTAATTATTAGAAGAACAATTATGGACGTACGTACCAGTTCAAGCCTTTCATGGCAAGCATAATTATCTGGACAACATAAAATTAGCGCATGTTTAATTTATTATAAGTTTGACTTTGGATTTATGACCACGCGGCAATGGGAACTCAAATTTATAGTAAGAAGCTTCGCTCACAGAATTTAGTCCAAAAAAAAAAAAAATTAAAAGAAAAAATGTTTACAAGAATCCTGGACCACGTACTGATATATGTGAGTATGATCACATGCGTATACACTTTGTAATTATTTTTTAAAATTAATTTACAGTCCCTTTCACTTTTAGTCTATTGCCTGCAAGTAAGAAGTCCTAAAAATAATCCATTTTTTTTTTATATTTGTAAATGTAGTTTTATCGATCAAGCTAGGAAGCAAAGCATTCGACTCTTTTATTTTATTTTATTTTATGTTATATAATCTCACTCACTGAGTCATTGTCCTTTGATTTATACAAAGAACACTACGGAAAAAAATAGATAAACAATTTTGTTGAGTTTTGCAGATAAGTTGAGTTTCGTAAAACTAACTTCGATATTAATGTCAGAAGGTCAAATCCCATATCCTGACTTTAAGGGGGAAAAAAGAAAGAAAAAACTTCCACTTAATAATAAATAAATAAAGAAAATAAAAGATAAAGAAAAAAAAGAAAAGAAAGAGATTTCAACAATATGTCCACATCCATAGAATAGGAAGAGAAGGAGAATTCATTCACAAGGAGCACTATAAATGAGACTCTATATAAATAGACATTATAAAACACATAATCAGGTAAGTTACCCAAAACTAAAATCAAGAAACTTCCTAATATGAAAATAAATACTAATGAAATCAAAACTATTAATAATGATGCTTTTCCTACTATACTTTCCCTAATACCACTTACGCGGTTGATTAAATAAAAAAGAATTATTTTGAACTTTGAGCACTGCGGTATTTTGGTGTTTGAACTTTTAATTTTGATAAATTAATTACTTTCTTTTTTTTTTTTGGCGATTTTGATCGCTAAAGTTAAATTTGACAAAGAATTTCTTAAATTTAACATAGACAATCACATTTATATCACATGTTAACTAAATATTTTGCGTAGTTACCTTAGTGCAAAATGTTCTAATTCTCAATGGATTTTAAAAGTAGTGACAAAAACATTTTACACATAATGCATTTATTCATATAGGAGTGTTCATATGATCCAATTAAATACTTAACTGACTCAATCTAATCAAATCTAATTTTTTACGGACAACCGACCTCAATTAGATTATATTAGTTTTCATTTCTTATAAAAAACAAACATAGATTGGATCATATGTTAATTTATTATCAAAATATCCAATCCAAACTAATCTAATCTCTGCATGTACTATATATGAAAATATCTAAATATATATGTAAAAAATTCAAAGTTTATTTTTTGAGTGAATTACATGAATGTCTTATATACCATTAAGAGTTTAAAAGTTATCTAAGCATAAATAAAATTGCATAGTTGAATAAATCGGTATCACAATGACGGGATCACTATGGTATAATTAGATTTCTTAGCAATATTTATCCTTCATATGATTCGGTCATTGTCGTAATGCTCGTGTCATTAGTTTAAAAATTTAAATTATGAAAGTATTAAAGAAAATTGTATAGTTTTAAACTGAAGGTTCAATATGGATCATTTTGTGCACTTAGTATAAAACTGATTCTAAAACAGCTGAAGAGAATGAAAGCCCTTAGTATAAAACTGATTGGTCCAAATCCCTAGGGATTAGTCAGGCGCTCAAAGAGCGAGGCCTCGATACCCTAGGTTACTAAAAAAAAAAAAAAAAGGATTGGATTAGATCGGATGATACACTAGTTTTTGGATTGGATTAGATGGAATTCTTAAAAGCTTTTGATTGGATTGGGTTTTATTGACTAAAATTGTATAAATTGGATTGGATAATACCCTGACTATTCACGCGATAGACACATGAATATTGAGTGTTGCTGTTAAATTTATAAATTATCAGCGCATTTTAGTGTTAGGGACTAAAATTGCTAATGAAAATAAAAGTTTATAAAGTAATCTATCAAGATCAAAAACTGAAGGACCAACGATGATTAAAGTAATTTACAGATTAAAAGTGCTAATTACCCCACAAAACTTATCTGATTCTTAGTACTACAGTCGTATCTTTTTTTTTTTTTGAAACTTTTACTGTAGGAAGTATCAACTTTTCCTACGTACAAACAGAACTGTTCGTTTAGCGGTTGGATTAATTTTTTAATGATTTAATTTGTAAATGTTTATTTTAAAAGTTTGAGGCATAAGACACAAAACTGTTTTCAACAGTAGATCAAGCAATTAAAAAGTTAATCTAACTACTAAATAATAGTTTTTATCGATAGGGACATAGGACGGTTCCCATGGTAAAAATTGTCAGATGTTTTTTTTTAATGGTAAAAAAGGAAAATATTACTTACACAAAATATGACAATTTTGAAAAGGTATCCTTCGTGGCAGGTGAGACGACCTTAAATATGACTTGTGAATTCGCAATTGCGTGCCGTTTGACTTGGACTTAACGTTGGTCTTTCTAGACAACTTTTCAAACAAAAAAAAAAAACAAAAAAACCAACTTGCATACAACCTAGATTCCCCGCTTGTTCCCTTCCATTTTCTTCCTTTTCAACTATCACATAACCTTCTCTCTCTCTCTCTCTCTCTCTCTCTCTCTCTCTCTATATATATATATACACACACACAATCCCTCACTCACTTCTGAATCTCTCATATTCGATGCTAAAGCAAAATTAAGTTCTCTTATGTATCATTCAAATTAAGTCAGCTAAAGGATACTTGTAAAATTAGATTACACTCTTTGTTAAAAACTTCATTTTCTAACAATTCCGTTTTTAATCTTCTGTAATGGCTAGCCCAAGGCGCGGACCGGTGAAGGTTGTGTTGATCGATACCCGGTACGTGAAGGCCGATCCGACGAGCTTCAAATCGGTGGTTCAGAGCCTCACAGGGAAGGATTCTTGCGTTGCATGGGTTGAGAGTAGCTCCTTCCATGGAACTACCAATAATACGACGACGACGACTACTACTACTCATGAGATCAATAAGGGAGAGATCAAACCAGATCACGATGTTATTAGTAGTACTAATAATGGCAACGGCTCGTCGTTTATGTTTTCACGAGGAATGTCTTTCAAGGACTTGGACAGAATGTTGCTGGAAATGCCTCCATTGGCGGACTTGCAGTATTGGCTCTCGGATAATCAGTAGAATTATTATTACCAATAATTGATATCATCACCATAATGAGTTAGTCCTGTAATTTTGTTGTACTATTCATCTCTCATACAATGGTTTTAAACATAACTTGGTTATAGTTCTTTTTTTTTTCTTTTCTTTTTTCAGTTTCTTCTTCTCTTTTAATTTTTCTCTCGCGTAAGAAAATTTGAGTTGTGACTTGAATTGTGAAAAGAATGCATTAATGTCAACTAATTTTGTACATATAACAAAAAATTAAATTCAATATTAATTAGCTGAAATATCAGTTCTAGTTTTAGCTGTTTGAGGTAACGTTTGTATTAGACTGACTGATTTGCGATAAGTTAAAAGAAACGTGTACGTTAATTTGTGGCTTTTTTGAAGTTTTTTTTCAAGTTGGGGTGTGGTTATCGCTCGTTTGCATAGATTGAGTGGCTGTTAAGAAGACACCGTTGTGTACGTACGGCAAAAGGGGACAAAATAATCAGACTGGAATGCGGCAATGTTGAATTTTTCCAATCTCAATCTAACAGTTCTAATATAGAACATGCAAACTTTTTCTTTATTTTTATTTTGTACTGTTATTTCCAAGTTTAAGTTAGATATTTCTAATAATTAAAAAATTACATATCGCTAAAAATATTTTTAATTAATTCATTTGACCTTAAAAAATTTTGTGACGCATTGATGTAGTATATATTGGATTTATAGCGAGTGTCAACTAAGTAGGATTTGTGAATTTTCCTTGATGTTTTGTCCCTTCTCTTTATTAATTTAAATAAAAAAACTGTGTATGTATAATACTTGTGATGGCATTTTTTTTTTTTTTGCTCAATAATAAGATATCATTATGATGTACATACAATTTAAAGGGATTGATGATCTGAGGAGCTAGCTCAATCTATTGTGTCAAGCGTGATAAATGCCCGAGTATTACATGGCCTGGGCCTATAATTTTTAATTTTGGGCCACGACACTCATGACTCAAAGCTTTGGCGGGCTAGGCTCAACCCAACACGAATCTTCGGTGGGCCAATCCCAACATAACACAATGCACGCATGAACCTAGCAGATTATGCAGGGCTATATGTGTGACAACCATCAATCTAATCAATCTACTGAGATAAAAAGGGCCGGTAAGTTGTGCATTTCGGCCTCATTGCTAATTGGGGATGATTGTAGGTGATGTTTTATAAGGACACCATGCCTTTTGGGTTGAAGCCCAAAAGTGAAATTATGCGGGTTCAGGCTCAAAGCGAACATATCATACCAAGTGGAGATGCATGTCGTTATAGATGATATTAGAGACTATATCTAGCCAGAAATGTTGCCAACGAGGACATTAGGCCTCCCATAAGGAGGACTGATTGTGATAACCATCAACCTTTTGAGGCAAAAAGGGCACAGATAGGGTAAGTTGTGCGTCCTACATTGCCACACCATCTCCTAATAGTATAAAGCCTTTTGGGGTGAAGCCTAAAAGCAAAATTTTACTGACTCAGATCCAAAGCGAACAATATCATACCAAATGTAGGTGCGGATCGTTTCAATATGGATATAGCATGACACGATTAGTCTCTTTTTCACAAATTGGAGCCCTAAATTTATGGAACTCTTTCTTTTTAATTTGTTCATCTTTTTATATTAACTAGTTTTAAAACGTGTTCCACACTTTTTACCGTGTTCAAGTCACTTAAAGTTGTTTATTATTTACTATCTAATGGGGAATTTATTGATACAACTATTTACATTTTGTTGTTTGATCTCTCATTTTTTTGAGCATGAGACAGGGCGCTGCCTTGCTGCTGTCTCATGCTGTCAATATTCATTTTCTAGTTTTCCTATCTGATAACACCATTTCATGCTATATTGTTTAAGTAATTCTACTTCTATTCTGAATAGTTGATATTCTATCCGCATATTATTTCTGATTAAGTTTTTCATAAATTAATTAATTCTTTCTATTCTGGTATTTATCCATATAATTTATAGGTTATAAGGAATTCTATACTCATTTCTGGCAGCAGAATCAACTAGTAGACCAACGCTCTTAAAATCTAAAGGCGAAAAGTCTTGAAAAATTGTCCGCTAATTGGGTTTCGACTAGTTTGGACGTGTTTCCTTCTTTTGATGCTAGTTATCTTCTCTTATCACTTGTGTAAATTAACAAAAAAAAAAAAAAAGGAATGGATCATCTCATGATTGAATTAGTAATTAAGTACTGGTTCAACATGTTAAAGAGAATGCCATAACAAGCACGACATTGACTAAGAAACAAAAGTCTCTCATAAAAGGTCAAGGGAAATAATTAATTAATTAAGGAGAAAATAATGGGGTTGTTAATTCGTTTAAGAATTTATTGAAGTGTCGAAGTCGTAAACATTTTCAAATCTTCAAAAAGTGGTTCTTTCTTCTGATTTCCCACTGCACTAGGTCCACATTAAATATACTCGGAATTTTTTGCTAATTAATATTGGCGCGTATATTCACTCAAAAGAAAAAAAAATGGCGTGTATATATATATATACATAATACATATATATAGGCTTATTATCGCATCCGGCAGCCAGACTAGAAATGACAAATACGTGCTGCCAACCAGGGGCGGAGTAGGGGTGGCAATTCGGGTTGGCGGGTCGTGTTCGTGTCGTGTTGACCTCTTCAGTTGACACGAATAGGTCTGACACGAACACGACCCGTTTATTAATCGTGTCGAAATACAAAACTCAAACACGATTCGTTTATTGGCGGGTTGACACGACACGACACGAATAACCTATTTATTAAATAGGTCATAAACGTGTCGTGTCAACCTATTGATTACCTGTCAACCTGTTTATAAAATGGGTGATAAATGGGTCGTGTTAACCTATTTATGAACATGTTTATAAAATAGGTGATAAATGGGTCGTGTTAACCTATTTCTGAACCTATTTTTTAACATGTTTATAAAATAGGTAATAAACGGGTTGTGTATTCGTGTTACCCAAATATGACACGTTTAATAAACGGGTTATGACGGGTCAATTGTGGGTTGGCGGGTCAACCTGAAAATGACATGTTATTTAATCGTGTTTCACGGGTTCGACCTGATTTTGACCGTACCTATTTATGATAAACCCAAACCCGTTAATTTCGTGCGTGTTTCGAGTCGTGTCATCGTGTCACTACCCGGATTGCCAGCCCTAAGGCGGAGTGTGTGCAGCGGCCCACTCACTTTCTTAATGTTATATTTTCATCCTTAAAATCTTATGATATTTCTATTTTGCCCCTACTAAAATTTAATACTTTTGTACATGCCCTCACTGAATCTTACATTTTTTAATTTTTATTCTCAAATATGTATTTCGTACATTTCTTGTTTTTGAATTTTTACAGACACAAGACAAGGACACGTGCTAAAAACAAGCCAACTAACAAAATACCTAACACTAAATATTATCAGTGGTGGTGCTTCCTTTTACACACCAACATGTGTCTTTGCAAAGCATGTTCTTTATGAAAAATGAGTTTGTATTTTTCTCCCTCATACACATGCATGCAAATCTCCTTTGGGTGAAAAAGAAAAAAAAAAGGAAAAAAAAAAGATATTGCATTATTGCTATTGACCAGCTAACATAGGACGTCATATTGGTGCCATTTTATGCCCTTTATTATTGTAATTAGCGGATTCTAAAGATGCTCCTTTACTTTCCTTATTCCTTAATTAACTCATGAAAAGTATCACTACAAGTATATCACTGCTGGTGAATGGTGGAACAAGTTGACAGAATAGGAAGAATCAGTACTTAGTGCTACGATCTGAAGCTTTCTCAATAGCCAAAATAAAACCGACGAGTTCGTCGATTTCAAAAGCAAAAGCAAGCCAGAGAAACAACTTTGAACAAAACCTCTGCATGTCAATGATAAATTTAAAGAACAAAAAATATCATATATAAACAACATTAAATTTGAATCATAATTTTTGTAGCATTAAATGGTGACACTTGTGATGGTCATTTTAACAGGACTTGTCCTTTTACCTTCTGTGTTACTTTGTATGTTGTGGTCATGAAATGTAGATCTGATCCATGTGGCAAATTTGCTCATTAAATTTCATATCAAGATCATGCCAGTGAATTATATTTTCATGTCCATCGTATATGAGAAATTCTAGTTTTGAAAACTTAACCGGAAGTTTTAAAATTTATAAACTATGTATTTTCTGATATATGTAGTGATTGGACCAACATGTTGGACAGGAAAATTCTGTAGAAACATTTGGAACAGTACTGATTTCTACTCATGTATATGAATGTGTAACTGTTAATTAAGTGACGTAGCGGAAGTAAATGAGAAAAATAGAAAAAAATGGATAAATTCATATTATCCGTTGATTCGCGTAGAATACCGGAAAACCCGTTGATTCGATCGGAATACCGGAAAATAAGACTTCTATAGACCTGTTGATTCACTCACAAATACCAGGAAAACAAGCATCAATTACTCGTTGATTCAACAAAATACCGAGAAGATTGGAATCAGTATCTTGAGAGAACTCTCAAAGCATATAATTTTTATTAATCTCTGAAAGAACTATCAATAACAAAGCTAGACTCTTCTATTTATAGAAGACTACAATTCGAAAACGAAAAGGAAATTGTAACTAATCTTAAATATTCTAAATTTAAAATTTAAAAATAACTAAATTAGATAAGCAACTATAAATAAGAAAACATTTAAATAAATTAAAATTTCACTTTTGAAGTCTAGCATCTTGCGCTCCATTATTAAGTAATTAGTACATACTTGCCGACCAAAAATTAATTCCCGATTATTTTATTATATATTTTTAGTTATTACAAATATATGATCTGAAACTAAAAATTCCATATTGCCCCTACTCAAATGTTAATTACCTTTCCTTCTAGCTGTATTTTTTTTTTTTTTTTTTACATATATACTTCTCTCTGAGTCACTTTTATGTTTGTTGTTTTCAACAAGCAATGAAATTGATATTGTTTATTTTCGTTCCCTTTTTATCAGAATATTATAGTTTTTTTCTTCATACAAATTATTAAAATTAAATGAAAACGATCAACGTTAGATCAAATAATTAATTAT